CAGATTAGACATTCTTATAATATGTCAACAAAAGTTAGATTTTATTTCCATCATTTACACTTTCAAAATAACAGAAAACAAAAAAATGGCATCTGCAAAAGTTTGGGCACCCTGCAGAGTTAATATCTTGTACTGCCCCCTTTGGCAAGTATCACAGCTTGTAAACGCTTTTTGTAGCCAGCCAAGAGTCTTTCAATTCTTGTTTGAGGTATCTTTGCCCATTCTTCCTTACAAAAGTCTTCCAGTTCTTTGAGATTTCTGGGCTGTCTGTCACGCACGGCTCTTTTAAGGTCTATCCATAGATTTTCAATTATGTTGAGGTCAGGAGATTGTGAAGGCCATGGCAAAACCTTCAGTTTACGCCTCTTGATGTAATCCCCCGTGGATTTCGAGGTGTGTTTAGGATCATTATCCATCTGTAGAAGCCATCCTCTCTTTAACTTCAGCTTTTTTACAGATGGCATCAAGTTACCATCCAAAATTTGCTGAAATTTTATTGAATCCATTTTTCCTTCTACTCGTGAGATGTTCCCTGTGCCACTGGCTGCAACACAACCCCAAAGCATGATTGATCCAACCCCATGCTTAACAGTTGGACAGAGGTTCTTCTCAATAAATTCTGTGCCCCTTCTTCTCCAAACGTACCTTTGCTCATTCCGGCCAAAAAGTTCAATTTTAACCTCGGTCCACAGAACTTGTTTCCAAAATGCATCAAGCTTGTCTATATGTTCATTTGCAAAGTTCAAACGATGATTTTTGTGGTGAGGACGTAGAAGAGGTTTTCTTCTGATGACTCTTCCATGAAGACCATATTTGTACAAGTATCTCTTTATAGTGGAATAGTGTACCACAACTCCAGTGTCTGCCAGATCTTTCTGGAGGGATCGTGCAGTCAAACGTGGGTTTTGAATTGTTTTTCTCACAATCCTGCGAGCTGTTCTGTCTGATATTTTTCTTGGTCTTCCAGATCTTGCTTTAACTTCCACTGTTCCTGATGACTGCCATTTCCTAATTACATTCTGAACAGAGGATATTGACATCTGAAAACGCTTTGCTATCTTCTTATAGCCTTCTCCAGCTTTGTGAGCGTCACCTATTTTCAGTTTCAGTTTTCTAGACAACTGCTTATAAGAACCCATGGTGCTGATTGTTGGGGCAAGGTCATATGAGTCTGGGCATTTAAAACCTTTGAGATTGACATCACCTGGTCTTCCCAGACGATGATTGAGAACAATCCAGGACACTGGCAGGTCTCAGCTTTGCAAAGGGGGCAGTACAAGATTAACTCTGCAGGGTGCCCAAACTTTTGCAGACTTCCTTTTTTTGTTTTCTGTTATTTTGAAAGTGTAAATGATGGAAATAAAATCTAACTTTTGTTGACATATTATAAGAATGTCTAATCTGTAATTTGATGCCTTTTGGAGATTTTTCCATCTTTCCTTGGCTTCTTTATGCACATTAATACAAATTTTTCACTGGGGTGCCCAAACTTTCAATCCCCACTGTATGTATTTCTCTCAATTTCCCCCACTTTACCCTATCATTTATTTTAGAAGTTGACATGTAAGGTGAAAGGCAAGGTTCTCTGTAAAGGTTTTTACTACTATCAGAGTCCATGTGCAGAGATTTCCCCATAATTCCTGTCCTAGTAGCAATGTTGTCTCTTGGATAGGTAGTGAGAATAAAATCTCCAACGGGAACAAAGCTGACAAAGACTCTAGACTCCCACCATTCTTCTAAAAAAGTGTTTTTATTCCTGTTATGCCCTGTGTTGTCAATGACATAGTAAATTTTTCCAAATACACTAATCAAACCTGAGAGAGAATCTAACTCTTCCTCATTGTAATAAAAATATATAAAATATACTGTAATAATAATGTATTGACTGGATTGCTGAAATAATTGTGACTGGATTGCTGAAATAATTGCCATCCTACACAATGCTATAATTCTTTTGTGTGTTTTATATATATATTATATATATATATATATATATTTATTGTGTATGTGTGTGTATATATAGCTACACATACAAAACAAATTAGTACTTTTAAAACTACCCATTTTGAACAGGTTACTATTTTTATATGTATGGGTGCTTGGAATACTGAAACATTTAAAGTGGAGTTCCACTCAAAAGTGGAAGCTCCGCTTATTTGCCTCCTCCCCCCTCCACTGCCATATTTGGCACCTTTTGGGGGGGAGGGGGGAGGGGGGAGCGGGTACCTGGTTTTGACAGGTACCTGCTCCCACTTCTGGCTCAGTTTGCCGCGGCGAAATGAGCCAGACGTTCGGCACCCTCCTCCCTCCCGCAGTCTCCTGGAAACTTTCACAGGTCCCACTTGACTCCCGGACCAATTAGGAGGCGCAGCGCAACTCAGGCATGTGCAGTGGGCACCAGGCTGTGAAGCCGCAAGCTGTTACTGCCTGGTGCCCACAGTTGAGATGCCAGCGCTGGGGAGGAAAGAAGGGGAGAAGGGACGGTGCGGGTGAGTACATTGCTGGATTCTGGGACAGGTAAGTGTGTGTTTATTAAAAGTCCGCAGCTACAGTTTTTGTAGCTGCTAACTTTTATTAAACACGAAAACGGCTGGAACTCCACTTCAAGAATGTTTAATATAAACATCTTTTGGTATACATACATATTCTTTTTACAGGAAAAATTAAGTCACAAGGTGTCTTTTGTTATTATTTTAGAGCACAAAAATAATTTAAAAACAGAAATAATAATATTATATTGAACAGTGCTGTCAACATAACACCTCTATTGAAAAGGTTGAGTAAAGTGTGTTCCGTTCCTGTACCACTAGATGGCAGACACAAGCTTTAACAAATGACAAGTGCAAAGAATGACAAGTACAAGACAAGTGCAGGTAGGAGCATATCACAGGAAATCAGAGGAAGTTCATGTAGATCTAAAAGGTGGCTATATAGCTTCTTTGCCAAAAGATGTGCTTGAAGTAGGCCCATAGATCATCAGATTTGTAATGAGGTTCCCCCCAATTGTACAGCGCTGAGCAAACCCTTTGGCGCTATATAAACTCAGTAATTAGTAATAATAAGGTTGCTTGATACTAATCTCATCTACATGCAATTCATACATTTTATACCAGCGCAAAACCATCTGTTTTATTTTCTAATTATTATTATTATTATACAGTATTTATATAGCGCCAAAGGGTATGCTCAGTGCTGTACAGTAGCAAGGGGGACAGAACATGAGACAAGACAGTAACAAAACAGTACACGAGGGGTTCGAGGGCCCTGCTCTTTCGAGCTTACAATCTAGGAGGGAGGGGAAGATGATACAGGAGGAGATGGCTGTGGGGGATGGAGTGGTGGGAGGAGTGGAGGAGGTTGTTAGGTGAGGTCAGGTGTTAGAGGTGAGGTTGGGGTAGGCTTCCCTGAAGAGGAGGGTTTTCAGGGTGCGCCTGAAGGTGAGGAGGGTAGGTGACAGTCTGATGGATTGGGGTAGGGAGTTCCAGAGGATGGGGGAAGTCCTAGAGAAGTCCTGCAATCGGGCGTGGGAGGAGGAAGAGTTTTTTAAGAATTACATCGTATTGTAAAGTGCTTTATACAGCAAAGACTGTAAGGTCACTAACGCAAAACAAGTATTTTATATAGGTGTAAGTGATTTATATGTTTAACAAACTATGTTGTATATGTATGGGATTCTGGAGCTGGAGTCCAACCATATTTAGGAGTAGCAGTGTTCTATCAGGTTAGCCATCGATTACTTTCACACATTTTGAGACGTTTATACCACTTTTTTGCTGCATTTTTATCACACTTGTGGACTCAGAAACCACACCAAAAACACACTACGGGTGCGTTTTTGATGAGTTTTCCACTGATTTCAATGGGGAGGTGCATTTTTTGATGCCTTTTTTTACCACACTAAACCTGCACCAATAATGCAGCAAGCAGGACTTTCAGAAATACACCTGAACCGCAATGGATCCAGTTCCCTAGGAATACATGGTCACACATTTTTCTTCTGCTTTTTTTAATTGCAAAAGCGGAAGAAAAGCAGATCAGTGTGAAAGGCAGCAAGTTTGAAGTTTAAGTAATACCATTTACTGACCTCCGTGATCCGGTAGCGAAACGTCAGGGCGTGCAGTCTCCTCCAAGACGCATTTTGTACACAGCGTACGTCCTCCAACTGAAACGCGTATGTGTATGAAACGCGTCTTGGAGGAGCCTGCATGCCCTGACGTTACGCTGCCAGATCACGGAGGTCCGGCGGCCACCATATTTACCAGCTGGTCAGTGCTCATAGCAGCTTTAGGCTGCTTTATTGTTTTTTACCGACTTAAGGATTTGCATTTTAAAGAATTTGCTGCATGTATGTGTATTTTATCATTTTATATGTTGAATACATTTTTGGATCATAACATACTACACTATGGGCATCTCCCTTTGTCGCTCTTTGGTGAGCTTTTAATTTCCCAAAGCCCCCTCCCCCTGGTGACCATTTCTCTATTTAGAAGAGGTTTGCATCCATATCCTTAAAGGGGACCTCCGGGCACAACGTCACTTTGATGTTATCCTTCCACCCTGGGCTGTTCTCTCCAGTACCATCCTTAAGAGGGATTCCGGGCAGACCGTCATTGATTTATATACTGCTCATTATCTATTCGTATCTGGTGAGTGTGCACTTTAACTATTTGTTTGCCGCTCACAAGGATTGTTGAATAACAGAATACCAAGATTTACAGTGTCACCTTGGGTCATAACTTCGAATATATATATAATTTTTAATATATTTATGGACTTTTAATGATATTATCTGCTGTTTATTGAATATAGATTTTATTGAATATTTATAGCGCTGCACAATTTTTAATGGTTGGGGCCCAGTATGACAAAGGTTCTTTGGCTACAGGTTCCTGAGCTGTAAATCTGGTCCTGTCTGTACTATATACAGTATCTAAAAATATAATCAGATCGCTAATGGCAGCAGCAAAACATCATAGCAGCAACATATTTAGATGTCTTACCTGTTCCGTTTTTTCCTGTGCTCCCTGTTACAATTTTCAGACTCACTGCCACTACTAGTATTGCAACGTGACCTCGATCTGCATTTTAAATGAGAAAAAGCAAACTTACAAAAGTGGCACAAGATTATAAATATCTGATTGGCTGCTGGCTATCTGATTGGCAAAAACACAAATTTTCCTTTCATCCAGTTTATTTTTACTTCAGCAATGTTTCCTTTGTTAATATAATCAATTTTTATTTCTTTAAAAAGTATTTTCATACACATTTTATAGAACACAAAAGAAATCCCAGATCCCATTCACACTAGGGTGTTTTGAATCGCGGGTAGAATCACCGCGATTCTGCCCACGATTTCAAAATGCTCTGCTAAAATGACAAATCGCAGAACTGTGTGTTCAGGTGCCATTTATTGTAATGGAATCTGGAAACGCGGTGTGGTTCTGCCATGATAAATTGTGCTGCAATCGCGGAGGCGCATGTCGCCCAAAAGAGGTTACTGAATTGCCTTGGTAACCTCCATAACTTGTATTAGCAGGTGCATGTACCTACTACCATCACATGTTCCCCTTGCCAGATGTATCTTTATAAAAAAGATACAGCAAGCAGTAGCTTAGTAGAGAATAAGACTTGATAAATTGTTACCAAACTACAATTGCGCTATCCCAGTCACATGGAAAATGACACACTCTTCAAATGTACAGTACATTAGGATCAAAATGGTGTGCTGTTGTCATTTTTACACATTATTTGCCAGTTTGTACAATACAAAGAGATGTTTTTAGTGCAGTGAAGGTTGTATCACGCGGCAATGATTACTCCTGGAAATACAACATTTGGCTTCTTTCCAGAGAAAGTGCCTTTATGGAAGGATTGTCAGGTATCTCTTTACAGAAAGCTGCAGAATTAAAAAGATTACAAATGTTTTAAAACTTTTTAAAGCTTTTTAAATTAGAGTAATATGATACTGCTTATATGAGATTATAATCATTGATTTTTTTTCTGCTTTAAATAATTACTTACCTGGAAATGATAATTCCACACCTATATGCAATATTGTGGTGTGCCATCTAAATGTTTGATAGTGACGCAAAATAAATTATGCAAAGTAAATTGTGAATTGGGCAGGGAAAACTATAATCACTGATGAAAATGTTCAACATACTATATGCTAAACTATCTTACCTGTCTGACCTCACCAAAAGGTGCCTAAACCCAATCTCCCACCTCTGCAACAGGCGGTAGTAAAGGCTCAAAAAAAAAAAATCATCCCCTGAAGGTTAATGTCATGAAGTGCTAGTGCTGGGAGGGTTCAGCAGACTAGCAAATGAAAGATTTACCTATAATAGCAATCCCTCCAGCGGTGACCTGTCACGGCACTTCCATCTCCACCTGGCCTTCATTCCAAGTTTGCGGGCTCTGGCCATTTAAATGGCTGAGACACAATAGCGTCATTTCCACACATGCACACGAGAGCCACAATCGCGGCACAGCACTCTCAATCAATGGCACACCTGAGTGCTGTCCATTGAGAGCATAGTGTGCATGCACCAATGTCATCACCGGCTGCTACAGATATGAATATCTCCTAAACAGTGTATCTTTACAAGATATTCACCTTATTATAATCTTACCTGTAGGTACAAGTGACCAGGCAGTGTTTACTACTACTTTAAGGGCTTGTTTACACGTGCGTCAGTACCCTGTGTTTATGTGGCATTTATTCAGGATTTTTAAAGCCTCATAACCTCTTCAATGCCTGCCATGAATATTACACTGAATACCACACAGTGCTGTACACACAGCTGGCATTGTGTTGTGTTAAAAATGAATGACTGTCAAATCAGTGACTGGCAGTCGATTGCAATAGTAATGCTCTGTAACCGAACCTTAACAGCATCTATATCATTTATGGCATGTTAGTGAAGCATTTAAAAAGTGCAAACTGGGCAATGGTGGTTCCTGTATCCCAGAACACAATGAAAAATAATAGAGAACTAGGACAGAACAGCTCCAGTCACTTCTGGTTGTACAGAGCAGCCATGTGGTAACACTATTGCTTCTGTGTGCAGGCAAAAGCATCAAGCCAGTCAGCAATACTGACAGTGCCAGGCAGGAGCAGAACCATTGAGCATTAGCTTGTGTCAGCAAAGTTCAGCTGGGCCAAGCCAAGTGTCAAATAGACAAATCCATCTAGCAGAGAATTCACAATAAAGTCTGCCATAACACTCCAACCTAACCACACCTCGAAGATCATTTCCTCTACATCACTTCTCGATTAAGCACTTTGCACTAGAAAAGCAACACTTTCATTGGTATTTATCAATGATTCTTGAAGCTTTCTCAACACTTCATAAACACAACAAAAACACGTCATAAACACATCATAAATGCTATATGAGAGTTTATGAGCATTTGCATCGTTCTTTATAAAGAATACAAGTGTGAACGAGCCCTAATACAGAATAATGTTGGCCATACACAGTTAGAAATTTGTTCGAAAAAGCATTTGATATGCTCGATCATTCAACTTTTGAAATGTTAGTGGCTTAATTTCGATTATCAATATGCAAAGTTTTAACCATCATGTCGGATATTTTGAGTTAAAATGACTGTTTTCCAAAACATTAGTAGGTCGAAAAAATCTACAGTGCCTTTGTGTGTTAAAATGTAACCCTGGAGGTACAAACAACGAAAAGAAAGATCTTTCTTTTAAATACAGTTAGCAAGTGGGAGGGTTCACAAAGGTCAAAAATCTCTGGATCATTTCCAAAATTCGACAAAAAATTTACCATTTATGTTGTTAATGATCGATAACATGTCGACAATTGGGGGAAATATTTAGATACAATGATGGAGTTATTGAATGACAGATCTTTATAAATCCGACCATTTTTTCAAACAGTTTTCTAACCGTGTATGGCCAGCATAAAACAGCAAGACTACGAGAATCAATCAGTGTACTGAAAAATCACTCAATTTACCCCTTTCCCAAGTGAACCTGGTATGAAGGTAAAATATAAAACACTTATCTAACCCCCTAAGGACCCGGGAGATCCTAAATCTGAGCACAGGGTGTACAAAATCCTCAAATTACAGGAAAGCCATTATGGAGTCACTGAATTGGAACATTAAATAATTCCTGAGCTCCTCCCTCCAGTGTTTTACTCCAGACAACCTGTTTTGAGTACAATGCGTCAAAAGTGGCTGAATGTTAGCTTGTTTGATTGAAAGGACATTGGAGTGTGACCTTGGAATTATTTTATGAGCAGGGAAATCAGCTGTACTGAGCCAGGAGTGTGCTGGCACTTGTGGTGGAAAGTGGTGTTCACAAGGATCTTGAGCACAGCATCTTCTGGGTATATAAACTGACTGACTTGTAACAAGAATACAGATTAGGAGTTGCCGCCTCATCCCTTTAAAACCGAACACATATCAATTACACAGGTTCTGTGGCTGATTAAGGTTAAACTCACCTAGTGCTGCAACTGCAATAAATTAGCCCCAGAACCTGTGTAATTATTATGTGTTCACTTTTAAAAGGATGAAGTGGCAACCCTAATTAGCAGTGCAGTTTGACCTTTTAGATTTGCCAGCTTGCTTTAGTTCAATGGGTTGCTTTAATAAACTCTGATGCAGCTGTGCATGGTAGCCAATCAGCTTCTAACTTCAGCTTGTTTAATTAAAGGATAAGTTCACCTTTTGGACAAAATAAAAATAAATGTGCATTTTTTTTTGCAGTTAAAAAAATGTGCATGTATTATTTTCGTCCAAAGGAGCCTGTAAAGCATTGCACTAGCGATCATTAGATCGCTGATGCCATGCAGGTCTCCTGCAGACTTGTCAGAATATGTGCTTGCCTTATGGAATGTATGGTCAAGCAGATATTCTGACAGAAAGCTTGAATGAACTACCATGGAGCTCCACAGCAGCGTGTTAATTCATTGAAAACTACAAGCCCACAGCTGCTAAGGCTGCCCGGGACTTGTAGATACTAGGGTTGCCACCTAATCCCATTAAAACCAAACACATAATAATTACACAGGTTCTGTGGCTGATTAAGGAGGTAATTAAACTCACTTAGCCCTGGTTCACATATATGCGGCCGTGCGGGCTGCGTTTTGTGTGGGCACGAGAGCCCATTCATTTGAATGGACTCCTGTGCCTTGTGACACACAGAGAAGTCCCTGCACTTCTTCTGAAAACGCAGCCCTCACGGGAACTTCGGTTACGTTTTCCAGTGCGGGCAGCGTGCCATTAGAACTAATGGCACCCACTCACGGGTCCACATTCCTCTGTGTAGGTGGTGCGGCTGAACGGATTTTCATGCGGATCCGCAGCGGCGGCACCCGCACAGATGTGAAGCAAGCCTTAGTGCCATTTCTGAATTAAATTAGCCTCAGAACCTGTGTAATTAATATATGTTTGGGTTTAAAGGGATAAGGTGGCAACCCTAGTAGGCACTCATTTTACAGAACTCTGTGATTGAGTGACGCTGCCATGTGGGCGGAGCCCCCGCACAGCCACGCTGTTTTCAAATCTGACAGATAGTACAGGGAGAAGTCTCCCATACTATCTGTCATAGGGAGGGGGAAGGCAGGCACAGCTATGGGAACATGTTACACGTTCCACCCTAAAAATGGGTGGAACGTAACATATTCCAAAGGTGAACTTATCCTTTAAGCTTTGACAAAAAAAAACCTGGAAGCTGTTTGGTTTCTCTGCAGATCTTCCAGTTTTGCACTCTCCAGTTTTAGTAAATCAACCCCAATGTATTGAAGACAGAGGCTCAACATAACAGTCAGGCACAACTAGGAATCTCAGGAAGAGGTCAGCAATGGCAGCCCATTACATAAGCCTGTACACCCAACATTACAATGCATCCCTTTGATGGAACACCCTCCTTGCTGCCTCTCACATACTGAAAGCCAGTACTAATATGTGTCTCACAGCCACCAATGGATTCATATTGCTTTTAAAGTTTAAATTTGATTGGTGATACAGAAAGCAAAGGAAGAGAAAATGACACAGCACAAACTAAAAGAGGTGCATTGTACAGTCCTCCTAGAGACCCTGTGAG